TAATTTAATAATAATAAGGAATTGGCTCACAGGAAGAATGATTTCTATACTTATCACTATGTATTTGTATGAGAACAATGGGGATATAAAGTAATTCACAGAAGCAAACTGACGTGACACAGGGAATGGGTTATGAAAGAAGAAAATAATACATATTTTCAGATCCAACCATATTCAGAGAAATCTAAGAAGTACAACTTAAGGATAAAACTAAAGATGGAGCTTGTCAATTTTAACATGAAAAAAGAACCACCAAAGTGGTTTGGTATACAGAGGAACTACTGTAAGCTTCTATTTTTAAACTTCCTTGCTCCTAGCCATCCCAAAATGTAGCTACAAAACAAATTACATAAAGAACAACTTTAGATAAAAAAGAAAATGACAAATTTGAATGAGTAATTGAAAAGCAGCAATGTTAGAGTTAAGAGATGAGCAACTTGATTTCTGCCCACCAGTAGGGTACGTATGTTTGATATTTTGCTGAAGAAAATAAAGTAAAAATCTGTAATAAATAGCAGATAAACAGAAACTTACTACTATTTGTGCCCTTAATTATTAATGTCGAGACTACACGCAGGGAAAAGAAGGTACAAAGTGAAAAGAAAAGAGATCTAAAAGGATTTAGAAAGTGAAGAATCGGCAACTTTCTTTCAACAAAGTAACCCTGCTCAAGTTTACTGTCCCTTCTCTTTCTAGCCAATTTTCTTGAGAGAGTGTTTGCATCAGCTTCCTCTTCCTTATGACAAAATCACTTGTTGCTGACATGTAAACTAGTTGAGGGCTCTACTTAAGTCTTGGGGCAGGATGACATGTATTTGAAAGCACACCACTTTCATTGCTGGCAAGAAAATAGCAGAGACAAACAATCTGACAGGACAAGGTGCCACAGAGACATTAACAATAACAACATTTCCAAACATTAATGTTGTTCATCATTTGCTGGGGAAAAAAAAAAAAAAAAAGACATTTTTGGGATGAGAACCTATAGTGACACAGGAGCCAGTTAAGTATTAGCCTGGCATAATTTTTCCAGGTCAACAATGCTAAGGTGAAGTAAGTGACCCTTTCTCTTTACAATCCTGTCATAGGGAACAAATGCTAGGCCTAACTCAAGTGGTGGTGACTTATGTCCAGGTTCTACAGTTTCACGGTTTCAAGCTATAAGAAGAGCAGCGGGTTAATTCTAAAACTATGTTGTCATTTTTTGTAATGAACACACTAAGTAATGAATAACCAATGAAACAAAAAGTTTCCAATAATTTATAGCACAGTATCCCCAACTGCTGGTCATGTGGATCTACTGACCTGAATGAGTTTGAGTAAACCAGCCACAAGCAAATTAGAACTGGAGGGGACTGAACCACTTCAGTGCACTGGACAAGTGTGCCTTGTTAAGGACCTCAGGATTGTTATCAAGTATTTCTTCGATACCTGCAAATGCACTGTCACCATGTTCCCAAAAATGTCTGGTGGCAAAAGACTTACAAGCAAACAGTTATAGGACAAAACACAGAGTTCTACCCACCCTGGAAACCATAACTCCCTGAGAGGGAAGGCTGGCCTGGCTAAGACAGATCTTTGTTCTTTAACACTGAAAGCAAACTCAGGCTGGCTCAAACCCAAACAGGGGATTCTGTACTCAACCCTTAATTTTGTACATCTGCTTCTCTCATTAAAATCTCAAATGCCTAAATGTTTGCAATTTCAATTTTAACATATAAATGTAGTTTGGAAAAACATAAGACCAATGGTATGCCTGATGGGCTAAGAAACAATGTGAGGAGACAGAGATAAAAGAGGAAAAGTGTAGTCAAAGGTCAAGCTGGGGGACAATTTGAACAATCTAAATTGAACTCAATTAACTTTTTCTCCATGACCCTATGTCATTTGAAAATTATTTATTTTGCAGAGCACTCTTGACTTCTGACACTTTTGTAAAAAGTGCTTCATACATTAAGAGTATACTTAAAATAACGTGTCAAAACAAATCTCTTAGGAAGTTACAATTAAATTTAGACTTATAATTTAAGGCCTTCATTTGAATATATACAAGTAACTGTGAGAGATAAACCAGAAAACACATATGCATGGGCTGCTTCAGCTGAACTGCACTGAGGTAGATGGATTATAATTTCTTAGAAGCAAAGGGAAATTCTAATTCACTGTGTTCTGCTTACCATAATGTAGCCTGAGCCCTGATGGAGAATGTGGCATTTAGTTATTTTTATCTTTTTTTGTTTTAGAGTTTCTGACAAGACTTATTATATAGACATATGGGACCGGGCACAGAGAGTGAAGGGGGCAGTGAGAAAGGGGAAGAGACTACTTGGAAATACAGATATAAATAAGGAGACCGCTGGGAAAACAGAAGTGTAAACCCAGGCAGGCACTATAATTCTGAAATGTATAACTGTATACATGCATCCATACCATTTCCTCTAGAAATTACATTTCAGAAAAATTCTATACATTTTCTATAACCTGGAGTAGCTAAAAAGTACCTAGCATAAGGCAAAAAGAAAAATATAGGAAATATTGAGTGATAACAAATGTAGGAGAAAAAAAAATACAGACAAATAGTGAATTGTTGAAGGAAGAATGAGGTTTCCTATGGATACATGCTCTTCTACTAATGATATACCCAAGTTTTTGCTTTGAAGGATTCCTCATTCAAAGGTGCAAAGGCTCTACAGTCTAAGAAGACAATCTCCTCTATCCTCTAAATGTTAGGCAATTACAGCAGAGCTATATGATGATTTCATTAATATCTTGTAGAAGGTACACTGGTGCTGCTAATGCCAAACTAAAATCAGTCACAAATGCCATTTCTTTAGTTTGCTAAATAGAGAATATATTCTTTAATTTCTGCTTTAGGATATTTGCATTTTGCTCCATGAGTTGGAATGCAGAGCAAAATCTAAAGTCATGAAAGACTGCCCACCTACATCATTACTGATATACTGTATAAGGGCCAGTGACTTTGGGGCTTGAGAAGCACAACAGAAGAGTAAGATGTGTTGTGTGAAGTTTAACCCAAACCTCCAAAAAGCTATTTCAAATTAAAAGAAATCCTGTTAATCTCAGTTGGAAGAGAAAAAACATACAACTAAGAGAAGGTCTCGTGAAAATAGGTCCTAACTTCAGGGAGTTTTATAGCTTTACAAAAATAAATCTATTGTTACATTTTTTGATAGATAATTTGCCATCTTCAGAGCTCTAAAATGAATGTCTCCAACTACAAGAGGTGGAGGAAGAGAATACATCCTGCATACCAATCAATTGCAATTTTATTGGCTGGTCAGGTATTTATTTATCAGCAACTTTACATCTAAGAATTATGGGAGTTTAAGATACCTGGCATCTCTGGATTTATGGATTACTGTGCCTGTTCCTAAATATCTTTAGGGCACAAAGACTGTCATTGCATTTGTTAATCAATCCATAACAGTGCTCAGCTACCTACCTGTCAACAAAGCTACAAGATTTCTTTCCTACTAGCTTGGAAGATTGTAATACAATCCTATTTTATTTTCCCAGGTGAGCAAACTTGGTGATGCAACATTTCTTAGTTCTTTATTCGCTAGGCTTGTTTTTATTAACCACAGAGGAAAAATGAGATAAAATCACTTTTACGTTGCCCTCTGCCTTTAATCACGAAGGGGGATTTTCTTCAGCCTTTCAGAGCCATCCTAAGATACAGATCTCCAAACAAGATCTCCTCCTCAGTTATATTAATACCCATGCACAAAGGGGTTTTAGATACCCAGGGATAAAGGCTCAGGTTTCTTCAGATCATTTTCTCTAGACATACATTTTAGATACTCTCTCAAAATGCATGAAGTTGTATCTCCTCATTAATTTATCTTTAATCATTATTCATGATTATAAGAATTTAGTAAGATTTACATTAAGCTATACCATATCTTAACCATCCATTCATCTGAAATACATAATCCAATTTGACACAAAGCAGGCAAACAGGTTGCTACTTCTGCAGGCTAATTACAAGAACTCTTCTATCCAATCCTGCTCAGAATTTGATCCTGAAAGCAACAAAAGCTCAGCGACACCAGTTCTTCTTCTCTCTATTCACTGTCCTTGCAGAAGCTAACTGAACAAAGTCTTTCACATCTGTGTGGAAAACTAGAGACACATTTTCCCCACTGATCTTTAGACCTGAAGTAAAATTAGAAGACATGTTTCTCAAGATGAGCAACATTGTCATTTTGGGAAGGACAATCCTTCGTTGTGCTTGAATGTCCTTAGCTGGTTAGATGTTTAGAAACTCAGCCCCTGCCCAAACATAACAGGGATCCTAGGCATTGAGAGCACTGAAATTGCCCCTTATTCTTTAAAGCCCTGCTTTGAACTACAATGTTGCCTTTGATGAATGCTGACATCCACCGAAGTTGTGGTAATCCTAAAAGCTTCCCCAATATACACAGGGGAGAATCTGATATTCTTAAAAATGAATATGCTGAACAAAGCATTTTTTTAAATTTAATAAAACCAATAAAAAAATATTGCCAGAGTGTTACAGGGGACTTTATTTTCATTAGGTTCATACTGCCGGCAAGGAATTATGTCTGCTTATTAGGCAAATGGAACGATTTCACAGTCCCACAGTCCAACCTGCTGCAGATACAGTGAATGGAAGAACGAGACTCTGCCAGCATTTTTTTTGCTCTAGAAAACTACAATTCCAAATCAGATTCCTGGAGAGCAGAAAGTCAAAGCCATGTGTAACACTTTCAGAAGTCTACACCTTTAAGGGTAAATGCATAGGTTGAGATGCCAAAGGACCGAGCCTGAGGAGAATTAGGAAGGAAGAAGGGAGAAAGAAGTCAGGAACCAAGATAACCTTGGAAACAACCAGAAATTGCAACTCACTACTGCCTCAATTGAAATCCAATGACATCTAAAGGGAGCTGCAGCAGCTTAGAAGAGGGTTCAGCTGGGATTTTGACCACACTGAAGGAAGATAGAGCACATGTACTAACCTTTGCTGGTTTTAGTCGGTTCTGAGGACATGTTTCCAGTCTTCTTCTTTTTTCTTGGAACAGGTACACATTTCCGGTCAAATGTAACAGGACTATATTGAGGGAGGCTGTTGAATTTTTTTTCAAATTCTTCATCCAGCTTTGCTGAGCTAATAAAAGAGAAGGGATGTAATCAATCAACACATGATATAAATATCTAAACAAAACACTATAAAGTATATGTTATGATATTTCTTTTGATAACAGGGTCCCTGAGAATTAGGTCATTGTTAATAAATTCCATGCAAGGATAAAAAAGTATCTTTTCAGAAAAGCTTGAGATTTACCAACACAGATTTCTTAGTAAACTCACATGAGAGGTTAGCTTATTACCTTAGAAAAGCTGAAACATTATTTAAAATATTGGGTATTTTTGAAGTGGAGAATTTACCATTCTCTCCATTGGCATAAGGATTTTCATTAAGTTCAATACAAAGCATATTCCACCCAGATAAGTGTCTCATTCATGTGTATGCACCCATATTGCCAAGCTTATTGGTAATATGGCATATTGGCAACTTTGTAAGGTTGGTTTTCTTAAAAAATACTTATTTTTTAAACATATACACACAAAGAAAACACAAGCAAATATTTTCAATTATTAGACAATCATTCTGGAGAGCTGACCAGGATGAGGATAAAATACTCAGTGGGAAAAGGTAAAGCCAATTTTCAATGAACACACTAGCAGAAAGGCAACACCGCTTTAACACCAACCACAAATGACTTCAGAAATGTCACCAGCAAAGTTGGGAAATCCTTGGGCTGCTTTTGATGGTCTCCAAGGCCCCCCACAGCAATGGTAGGCATGCCTGCTGGGTCCTAGGCTGGCTGCTGGCTTTCACTGACAGTGAAACGTACTAAGATGCAGCCCAAACAGATGGGAGAAGCCACAGGAGAATTGCTGTGCTCAGTAGATGGAAAATGGAAAGCATACTGGGAAGAGAGCAGCTTTGAGTAGCAACTTACAAAAGCTAATGTATTAGGTGGCTACTTATAGGATATCCACCTAAAACTGGTCTCAAGTTTTGGAAGAATGTGCAAGAGTTGGGAGCAGAGATAAGTCAGATAACCATCAGACTGTCAAAAGAAAAAGGCCACTACACCAAGTTCTTTCAAAGCTGCAAAGAGCGGTGGGTGAGGGTGTTGTTTCTTTCTTACTAAAATCATCTTTTCATGCTCAACTAAAAAAATGTTTATACTAATGGAAAATCAGATACTATCTGATACTAATTAATCAGAAAGCTACCTGTAAGATGTGAATTTTTCAGATACTCTGAATAACCAAGAGAAAAAATATGAAAATGTGAGATCTAAATCCTAAGGTTTCTTGGTACCTTTTTTTTTCTTTTTTTCAACTAGAATAATTACCTACGTTTTTCTTGGATAAGTCTATAAAATCAGAACTGCCAATACTGAGTAAATTTTTCTTGGCTACTGCTAACTAAGGAGGTAGCACATTTTCTGCAATAAAAAGGTTTAAAATGCTCATTTAGAAATCTCAGCTATGAATGACAGGAAGTGCATTCCTCACTGCTCATGCACTATGGTGGTGTGTTCTTAATGAGGCAAACCCAGATAATCTGAATCTGACAGGCAATTATTTAAAGGAGGAGGAAAGATCAGAACTTTACTGTTGATTTAAGCCTGTAAAAAACCTCCTTAAAAATATTTTTTATAAACAAACAAACAAGCCAATCCACACAGAGATCTCTTTGTAGGGACAGGTTTTCAAAAGATTGTTTCACTTTTCTTGTTCTTCAAAGAAGACTGTGAAAACATCTCTCTCATAGCCTTAGCAGTATCTTAGGGAAACCACCAGAGAACGTGCTGTTGGGGAACCTTCTTGCCCACTGTATTCCCCTGGGACTTTACTGTGTTTGCAATGACAGCAGCTTCTCTCTGTCCATGGAGACAAGCAGAGCACCGTAGTTCCAGAAGTTACACAGCATTGGTCCCTGGTCACTTTTTTTAGGAAATATTTCATTTGAAAAGTATCATTTGACAATGAAAAATGTGAGGGTTTTCATGTCATTGTTGAAACATAATATAAGAAAGACTAATTTGAACGACTCTGGACTTTAAGAAATATTAGAAAGAAAATACGTGAAATTTATAAATATATCATTTCAACATAAATAATCTTGAGGATCGTCATGAGAAATAATTTCCACTCTCGAACTCTGTGATGACCTAGAGCCTTAGAATTAACCAGACTTGGAAGCACTATAACACCCAAGGACAAACTATATTATTCCACAAACAGAAATGCAAATATTTATGAATAAACCAAATACAATATTCCCAATGCATAAAATTTGCATACTTTTGAACGTATTTAGGAAAAAATATGAAAAATACAAAAATGCACATCTTTTCAATGTATTCTTTTCAAATTGAGCTAAGAGAAATCTCAAAGGATTTTCAAAACAGTACAACTGAATATTCAGATGCTTTCCTCATGAATGTAAAATATCAGATCTCATAATTTGCAAAATGCTTTATATTAAGATTGGTATCTATCAGTCTTTACCATAATATAAAATGAAATAATCCTTAATTATTTTATCTTGATGTATGCTATTGCTTGACAGTGTATTTCAACATAAAATTAATTATTGAATATCTATTATTTTTATCTTAGAGCACAAGAACATGGTTTAAACAAAACAAGATTAGAGATAAAAACGTAATTTTTTTAACCTTACATTTTCAGCTGTTGTTATTTTATAAACATATGTACACGCCTTTAGAAATACTAAATAAGGTACATACAGGATATAAAATATAAACATATAATATCCACTGCAAACTTCAGATGGGAAAATGTGTCCCGGCAATATTAAGGATTTACAATATCACACCACCAATACACAGTGGACCTCATTTCAAACTCAGGCCTAAGTCTGATACTTAAATTGTGAATGACATTGTCACTCTCACAATCGTGTTAACAGCAGGAATCATGGGATACACTTAATTCGCATCCCCTCCCGTGTTTGTTATGACTATAGTAAGTGCTGAACAAATACTCAAAGAGTAAGCAGTTAGAGATGTACGCGTGTCCTGAGAACCCGACCGCACTTGGGGTCTGTGCAGTGCAGCTGACTGTGCTCACAGGCACTCACCCAAGGAGAGAGTCTTCCTTCAGCTTTGTCTTCTTGAACTTCTTGCTTCCACTGGTCCCACTCTGGCTAAACATCCAGCTTTCTTCATTCCAACACCCTTCATGATCAGAGGAGTTTCCTTTTCCTGAGCTTCGTTTCCCTAAGGAAATTCAGAAAGGAAAGGATGTGCTCAATATATTGGGATGGGAGGGAAATCATCTTGAGTTGTTTCACAAGCAACCTCCTGACTCCTTGCACATCATGGGCATGATGCTGCTTGTAACTGGTCAGACTGCAAGTGATTCATGATGGACTACTCTTTGTAACAGAACACACACAAGAGTTACAGCCTCTGATATAAGCTGTCTGGTCATAATTCAACAGGTAGTGCGTGACTCTGGAGACAGTCCAAATACCGCTGATTTTTCCATTACAGAATCAGCTTTAGGTGTGGGAGTCCTCTACTGGTTGGCACTATTAATTCTCCAAGATTTCCTGGAATGACATCCCTGGGGGACTATGAACTCCTGGGGATCTTCCAGGTAATACCCTGGCCAGATGCTGTATTTTAAAATAGATGACTTTATATAAACCATTCTATGGCGTAAAGGTATACATATTAATTAGATTCTGGATACTGTTATGTTTTGAAGAGCTTTCACTTTCATTATAGTTTTGATTACCTAATGGAGGGGGCTAGGTAAAGTCATGTGCTTCTGGATCCTACACATCAAGATTCTGCCAAACATAACTGCTTGATTCAGAAAATTCTTTCCAAAAGTTTTAGAAAATAGACTAAGAGCTCCAGACATGCAATGCTGATCTTTCAAAACAAAAACCCAGCATGTACCACCGTACCAGTAGGGAAAAAAAAAAAAAAGAGGTTTGAATTACTTTAAACACATATTCTGAAGACAATCTGCTCAATAGTGCTAGACAACACGTAAGTAGAATGACAAATGTATGTGATCTATAAACCATAAAGAACTACAAATGTAAAATATCATTTTGATACCATATTGTTCTTTACGTTGGTTCTTTTCAATAGGTCTAAAGGAGAAGTTCTGTTAGGTTTCAATAATCTTTTCTGATTTGCAGAAGTCACTTACCTCTGTCAACATTAGCTCTCAGAGAGGTGAGCATGCCCTCAGACACCAGGGTTTTATAAAGAGCACCTTTGCAAGACCTCTCAGATTTCCGGGAGCCACAAGTCTCTATCTTTCTGTGACACTCACTGTCCTCAGCCTTGGCCTGTCCTGATAAGCTGGATGGTAATGCATCCTCCGTGGGGGTCAATGGTTCTCCTTTTATACCCTCTGGCACCTCACCAGAAATGTTCTTGCTGGCAGAGATACTAATGAGATCTGGAGATCTTGACTCTTTGGTGGTATCTGAGGATTTCTCCTTTGACATTTTCTTCTCTCTTGATTTCACTTTTTTCTTTGGTGGTTTGGCATCCAAAATGTTTCCCTTGCCACTCGAGGATGTGCGGGCCTTCTTGCGAGGGGTTTCCCCAAGTTTCTCAATGCCCCAGTCTCCCTTGGCGACAGCTTCAATGGTGTATATGACACTCTCAATATCAGACTCTGAGGACTGCCTCTTTTTGCAAGTCTTCTTGGGTGTGGATTTATCATTTCCATGTCGATCCACTTTGCTTTTCTTCTTTTTCTTCTTTAGCTTTTCTGGTTTGTTTAATGCCATGGGATCCTCAATGATCATAATTCCATGAGGATGGCACATGTGATCCTTTCTGCTGGGAACATCGCTTATTATTATCTTGCTACTGGCAGAGTAAGAAAAATCAGAGAAGTGACCACATTTTTGATCTTCATCTAATTCTTCCTTTTTAGTTTCTTTGGGATCTTCCATTTTTATAGCCATTATATTATCCATTCGCAGCTCCTCAAAATTTCTTAATTCCTTGGAATCTTTTACATTTTCCTTAAATGATTTTTCAAATTCGGCTTCCTTCTGTAACCTGGCTTCATCTGTTTTCTCCATTTTTATTTCTCTTTCTTCCTTTCCCTTCTCCAATTCTTTAATCCTTCCGCCATCTGATTCTTTTGCTTTTATTAGCTTGGATTCTTCCATTTTCACCCCCTCTGATGCCAGACACATCTAAATAGTTAAAACAAAAATGGGAGAACAAAAACAAATTCTTTTTATTCTATACTTGAATTTAACTTAAACTTTTAAATTATTATCCGTTTTAAAAATAATCAAACTTCAAACTTTACAATAATCAGTCACTTCTGCCATACTAAATGATTCAAATTATTGATAATAAAAGGTTTTAGACATTATAATATATTTATTATACTCTAGACAAGCATATACATGAATTCTTATTTTCCAGCTTCATTGGAAGCTTTTCCTATGAAAACAAGATTTGGTAAAAAGGAAGATGGATGCAGAGCTGAAAGACCAGAGTCTGAGTCTTAGTTTTGCTTCTTGCTAACTTTATAACTAGAGTGAGTCATTTCACTCCTTACTTCTCTGTTGCCTTTGTAAAATAAAAATAATTCATCTCAGAAGATTCTGTGAGGTCTAACAGAGATGATGTACTTATGGCAGTACTTAGCAAATCAACCCCAAACGCTGTTCTGATGTTTGCCCTTTCTTCCTTCTTGGGGAAATGAGAAAAATAGCAACAATTTTTACCTGTCTACTTGGAATTAGAAACAGGATAATTCATTAAACAACTACAGAAGGTTTTAGTAAATGAACAAAACTTTATAGGGTCCACAAATGCTGATAACCTGAAGATCACAAAGCTCTGAAAACTAAGTGATTTTTTTTTTTAAAGTAAGTTGGTGGAAATCTCTTATCTCATCCAAATTTACCGGGCTGCAAATTCTGACCAGAATTAGTGTGAAACTGCTTACGGTTTTAATTTATCTCATTTAATGTGACTCTTCTTATGCTTTTGCTGTCAGAATCTGCATTGGGGAATTAACTGGATAGTGTGAGATACACACATTATACTATCATTTTCCTTAAAATCTAAAAAATTCTGAATACCAAAAAATATCTGGCAGCAATTTGCTTAACTTTTTAAACTACCAAAATTTTACATATAGGACATTAAAGGAGAGACCATGTTGATTAGGCCAAGGACAGCACAGGAATTCTGAAACATTAACTCATTTTATCTACTTTGCACTAAGCAACTTGGAGGAAAAAAAGAGTATTGGGCTTGCTTAGCCCCCAAATCAAGCCATGAGTAGGCAACTGATCCATTTGCCAAATCCAAAGAAAAACCGCCATTTTATCAAATGGCAAGTTGTCACAGATCGTTAACATCTGTAAAATTCATTTTTCAAATTCAAATTTTTAAATGAATAATACACTGAATTGAATGATCAGATGCTCTTTTACTCCATTTCTTCCCCCTCCCCCTTAGTACTTGTCTCTCAAATTCTTCCTTGAGAATGATGTTATGATTAGTGAGTCTACCAAGAAATTGGAGAAGGGGTGGAGGTGGGGGCAGACAGTACCAATTAAAAAAAAAATGAGTATGACAAGAGTACCAAGTCCTCTGAATCATTCACAGGGAAGATCTGATATGTTATGAGTTCACGATGAAGCCTTTTCAGAAAATCAAGTAAGTTAACTTTTAGACCTCAGCAACTTCCCTTTATTAAACTTAACCTGAAGTAAGGTAACAGCAAAATGTTATCTTGTTTCTCAAACACTAGTACATTTAATCTTCCCTGCATATTTTACCCTCATGGGAGATCTGCTGTTCTTTGTATGAATTCTGAGTTAATCTTAATTTTCCTTTCTTAATTATCCTAGCGCTTCATGAATATAAGTATCCCAATGTGGAGAAAAAGACTATGCTCGTTCTGGAAAGAAGATGAGAGACATCCTCAAGGTAAATTTTATGGTTGTTCAATCACCATCACGCTGATGGCCTTTAATAAATCATCTCAGGGACCTTTTACCATAAATATGCGGGTTTTTATTGTGATATTGCCAACAGTTTGCATTTGCACAAATTCATCTTATCAAACCTAATAATACTTTGCAAACTCTATTCTCTTCTTCAATATATTTCAAAATGATTCTCCTCATCATCCTTGATAGGATTCTACAGTGAGGAATGAAATGGAACAAATGCAGACATTCACTCTGGGGACATATTCCGGGAAATAGCATAATATTTCTTGTGAAGTTAATTACACTGAGCACTAGTCATGCTTTACTTCCTTGTCTCAGGCTCTTAAAAGTTTTTTCACAAATAGAGTATGTTAATCCTAAATTATAAGAAGAACAATTATGTTCCTGGCAGTGAAACTATAAAAATAAAACAAATTAACTTCTAATAAAAAACTACAAACCACAAGCCTTGATAACCAAAACCTTAAAACAAATCAGACAAGGCTGGATGTCACTCTAGAAGTTACATATAATTTAACATTCTTCCCAATGAAGGAATTCACTTTGCTACTATATTCCTGAGAGTTAGTTATCCTTTTTTTTTTGCACAAAAGCAATGACCTTGGAGAGAGCAGTTCTGTTTGAAAATTTTAAAATATTGATCAAAAATCTATCATCTCCTAATTCCTAGTTGTTCCCTGGAGCCACATAAAATTAACCCACTCTTTCTCTCATGTTATAGTTTCAAGTCTTGGAAGATAGACATTATGTTCCCACCACAGGTCTCTTCTTCCAGCATAATGTTCCCAATTCCCTTAACTGCTCATCACATGGAAAAGCTTCCCCACCTTTCAAAGTTGGATCCCTCTTATCTAGATGCAGAATGGTGTCCTGAAGTTAGAATGGGCTTTATTGAAATTAGCTGGCTTTACGAACAAGCACCAGACCTTGCTTGCTTAAGCAACACAGTGAGCTATGTTATCTTAGACTTGAATCCCTATGAGGAAATAAAAGCTGAGAAATAGGGTAACAGTACATCCTCTACTGGGTTGTTGGGAGGCAAAGGAGAACAAATGTGTGCCAACACAACTTGGGGAGCAGTAATGCTTCAATTTAACAGTATCTTTCTTAGATTAAGTTCCTACCCTTCCTGTAATATTCTTGAAGAGAAGAAGAACTATTTGTCAGTTGACAGGGACACTAATCTTCTAAAGACAAATCCGCCCCCCCCCCCACCCAAACATAGGCCATACTTGGCTTGCGTAGGGCTTGTGGTCAATTAAAATCCTGGATTTCTTGATCCATATAATATGCTGGGAAGCTAAGTCTCTCCCATTCTATATCTTTATATTTTTTGTGCCAGATGCAAGATATTCCATTTTCCTTATAAAGTTTATCCTTTCAAACTGAATTAAATTACCTATCATCTTTGTGTTATGGACACATTTGATAAAAGCTGTTTTATGTCTTCATCCAGATCTCTGGTAATAATGTTGAGTAGGACATGGCCAAGGGCAGAGCCTTGTGGTAAACCTCTGGAGTCCTTTCATCAGGTTGACTTGAACATAAATTAACAATCTAAGAATTCATAATCCAGTCTAAATTCCCCCTATTTTGTTCACGAGGACATAAGATTATCTGTCCAAAGTCTTGCTAAAATCTGGATATAATATGCCAACAGCGTTCTCTTAGCCTGTTCTATAATCATACCAAACAGAAAACGAAAATGGTTCGTGCACTAGTCAGGGTCTAACTAGGCAAACAGAAACAATTTAAGCATACCTAGCTGAGGAAATTTAATGCAGGTAATAAGTTGGTTACACAGGTCATGAAGAACCGAGTCACTCGAACAGGAGGTGGTGAAGCAACCCAGGGATTAGCTACAGCAGAAAGCCACAGTAGGTACAAGAATTGCTACTGAAGCCCAGGGGCTGGGTCCCCTGTAGAAGGTGGCACTGTGGCAGGCCTATATGGGGAGAGCTGGATGCATGAAAGAGATGCTGTCTTTGCTGTACCTCCAGCCCTCCTCATCCCTTCTTTGCACCATCTGGCCTCTCTCTTCCTCCCTTTTCCTGATGCCCCACTAGTGTCTTTCATTGGCTGAACCAAGCTAGAAGTCAGGGGACACAGGAACCCAGGAAAGACAGTCTGCAACCTCCTGGAATATAAAGCCAGCATGCAGAGCAAACAAACTCTGGCCTAGCACATTTGACAATGACTTATTTCAGGAAGACTTTGATAATTTCCAGTTTTTATCTCCTTTTCTATGAGTTCCAAATAATATTCTTAGAATTAGTTTTCAAAAGTCTCTAGGAATTAGCAGTCTATACTTCTACATGACATAAACAGAACCTGGGAATTATGGATGTAATAACTCTTAAGCAATGCCATTACTCTTACATGTGTGCAAATTCTATATTGAAAGGCTGTCGCAGAAGGCAGGGATTCTACAGCCAGATTGTGTAGGACTGTAGACTGACTAGTTCATTTTCTCTAAATTTTTCTGTGCCTCAGTTTCCCAATCTATAAAACAAGATTGTTAATGTGCTTCAGCTTCCCAATCTATAAAACAAGATTGCTAATAGTATTTGCCTTAGGAATACTATGAGGTCTAATGAGCTGCATGTGATAGTACTTAAATTAGTGCCTAGTACAGAACAAGAATATACTGTGACAACCATCCCTCTGGAGCCTTATGCCATATGGAATGGATGTTGGCCATCGTTAGTAGTAATATTCATATTGGTATCATTAATAGCATATCATGACCCTAGTACACTAACTGCTTTACTCTAATTTTTCATTGTAGTGTTGAATGATTCTACAGTTGAAAAAGACACATAAAACAAAATCTAGATTCAGGAAGATCTTAAATCAGTTACCTTTCGAGAAGCAACTCTTATGAAGCTCAGTTCCACTTTTGGGAACAAGCATATGTATTTACATCTACTTTGGGTGCATATATCATCACTTCAGTGGGACTTAATAAAGTGCATACACACTACATTATGTAAATATGCAAGGACATGTGCACAAGTAAGCTCATAGTGGATACAAAAGAGCATAAATGTGAACTCAAGTGAATAAAACTGCATTGTGGTAGCACAGAATTAATGTCTGTTATTAATTAGTCAGGTTGCCCTTAATAGAAGGTTGGTTGTTAATCAGGCCCTGAAACAAAACACATCCTAATAAATGACAATTTGTTCTATTATTATTTTAAATTGAACAATCAC